CCAACGGCAGCCGGGAGGCGGCCGCGGGCGGGTGGCCGCGGGCGCCGCTGGCCCCCGGGGAGGCGATCGCGGCGCCGAGCGGCGCCTTCGAGCGGGACCCGCAGGAGTCGAGCACCACGGACGAGGAGCTGAGCCGCGCGGGCGGCCGGAGCACCACGCCGGACTACGGCGAGAGGCGGCTGCCGCAAGCCCTTATCATCGGCGTCAAGAAGGGCGGCACGCGGGCACTACTGGARGCCATCCGGGCGCACCCCGACGTGCGCGCCGTGGGCACCGAGCCCCACTTCTTCGACAGGAACTACGAGAAGGGGCTGCAGTGGTACAGGTGGGTGTGCTGGGCTCCGTGGCGGGCGAGGGGGATTCACCCGGCAGCTCCAGCCGTGGGAGCCGCRGGTCGCGCTGTGAGCGGGATGTGCACGAAGGTCCCTTTGGCAGAGCTGCGGGTTGCGTGGGGAGCAGGACATCCCTTGGCAGAGCCATTGGAGCTGGGCAGAGAACAGGCATCGCGGCATGACAGCTGTGTCATAACTCGTACCTGCTGAACTAGGGCCCGCAAGCTCTGGGGTGCTGTGGGCTTCAGGGGAAGTGTGAGTCCTTGTTTTGCGCAAAATGCAGAGTCTGTATCACAGACAAATAAGATTTGCTCTTTATTCAACAAGTTCATCCATGGAAAGTTTTTGCATTGACTAGATTTAATTCTGTTTACAAGGCAGTCTTTGCATCTTGTGCAGCATAGCATAACATTGTCTAAGATGTAAGCTAAGAGCTCTATTTCTTGAAGAAATTGTAAACTACTGAATTTTGAAATGCCTTGTGAGTTGAGTAAATCAATGAATTGCATTGGCTCRGGCTTTCAGTTCATTTGTCTTGAGACTAAAAACAATGCGGTGCATTAGTGTCACTTGCAAATTCGGTAGTTTCTAGTTTATGGTTAAAACAAACCAATGATAGTGGCTTTCCAAGAAGAAAATGATTTGTGGGTAAACCCATAAATTTCAGGCTTTTTGTTTTGCTTCAGGTAGTGATTCAGTCACTCTGAGGAACYGGGGGCAGCAGGTTAGTCACTGCCTGGGTTATCTGGTCAGTCTTGTAGAAACAGCACGCAGTTCTCCTAACAGTATTTAATTAGGAGCAGCACTCACTCCAGGCTGTGATCTRTAGGACTGTGGAAGTCTCCATAATGCTTATTTGGTGTAGCATCTGCTTGGGTTCGTCAAAGCGATGAGGGATTTTCAGAGGGACTTAAATAATGCGGAGCTCAGCACCATGAAAGTATGTTTGTCTCTGAGAGCGCTTTGAGGGTGTTGAACCAGCATGAGGAAGGAATGAAGGATTAACTGTGGTTATTTTACTTTTTTATTTTATAACATATAATTTCAGACGCAGTAGCCTGTTTTATGGAATTTTCATGCAGCAAAGCTTGCTTCGGAAAACAAGTGTAGAAATTTGTTGGAAGAGGCTAGAAAGTGGCATAGGAAAGGTCTGGGTTTATTCAACATAGGTGAAAGAAGATCAAGCCCTGGATATGGCAAGAGGTGCCTTTTCATCTTTAAAGTCTGCTACAAGAAAGGGGCTGGAGTGGGTGTAGCTGCTCTCCTGGAGTTAAAGGCATGCTCAGGGTTTTCCTTGCAGATGCATTTTGATTTTTTTTTTTTTTTTTTTTTTATCCTTGCAGTAGCTCTGTGACTTGTTTAGCAGATTTCTCGTATTAATGATATGCTGCACTCTTAGAGAGGTAGAAACTGAGAAGACTGGGTGAAATCTGATTTATGGAGCTGCTGGGCAGAGACAGAGCTGCATCTCGCAGCCGTGGGCTGAGGAAACAGCACTGCTGTGGCCCGGTGCCTTTGCCCTGGCTGTTTAACCTATGAGCATCTCTGCAGCTGCCTGAGCCCAACCACATCCTCCCCTCGCTCCTGCAGCAGCTTCCAGCCGGGCCGTGTGGGATAACGGGGCACACGGCAGAGCCGTCCTGCGCTCCGGCGGAGCCGCAAGTTTCTGCTGGCGCCGTGGGCTAGGCAGCTGCTGCGTGCGCTGTAAATGCGAGCAAGGGAAGCCCCAAAGGAGTAAGTGAGAGGATTGCCATCGCATCAGCAGGCGTTTCCTCCGGATCCCTCACGAGGCTGCCGGGCGCAGGTACTAGGAAGGGTGGCTACTCTCAGCCGTGCCCTGGTACGGTGACTGGAGGCTTTTCCCAGCCACAGAAATGGCTTGTCTTTTCTATAACACAGCAGCAGCTTTGTAGCAGCAGCTACTGACGTGTTTGTAGCAGCATCTCCTTTCAGTGGCTTCTATCGCTGTTTGTATTTTGCATATAATATGCTTCCTCTTATGCATCACACACTGCCAGCTGTTGTACGGCCAAGTTGATCTCCCCTCATGCAGTGAAAGGAGGTGCAGCCGAGCCCGTGCGTGCCCTGCTTGGTCATTTGGTGCCCACGATTTCCTCCCYGGAGCCACGAGCGAGCCATGGTCCCCACATGCCCATGCTCAGGGCTGGGCTCAGCGGCTTCCCCATCAGTAAAATGGAGACAACACCTTGTGCTCCCGCTTCTCTTGTGCACACCAGGCTGTGTTAGCTGTGTCTCTGCTGCTCGGAGGTTAAACAGCTACAAACACGGTATCGGGGATCCCTACCAGGATGGTGTTGGGAAGCCAAAGCCGGTGTAAAGGCAGCTCCCTGCCTGCCGGGCGGTGCTGTGCGTGCTGAGCCCATTACTCTGTGCCCTGTTTTCCCAGTAACCTTTAGGAAACGTTGTGCGGTTTGCGACTGCTTTAACTCTGCCGTCAAAGTTCATACAAAGATTATAGGATCAGCATCTCCCTACACAGGCACTGATGTGAGCCAGGTTTAAGGCTCGTTTTGGCTGTTCAGTGTTTTGCTGCCAGGATTGTTAGTGCGGCTGTGATTTGTAATCCCATACATTTTAATGTTGGGTTGCCTGAAGGACAAGTTCAGCGATGCAGCTTTCCTGGGACTGCACCAGTGCCTTGGTGTGGGATGCTTTTGAGGCATTGCCTCAGCTTCTTTCTCCCCTAATGCAGGCTCCTGTGTACAGGGTGAAGGCCGGATGAGTAGAGCGGTACCTGACTCCGAGGCCGCTGCGGTCCTGCCCGCCCGCCTGGCCCAGACCTCGGCATCCCATGTTGAGCAGAAAGCTGAGCATTTGCAGCACGATTTGGAAATAAATGTGTAATTTTAATGAGAATCACGTGGTGTCCATAATGCAGAGAGAGAGAACCTGATAGGGGAGAACTGAAAATTCGCAGGGTAGAATTCACTGATTTGTAAATGATTCCAAACATCGCTCAGGGGTTGGAGGCCATGTGCACGTTCAGCAGGTTTTCCAGCAAAGGTGACCCACTTCACCCTGGCCCCAGGCTGCTGCTGYGAGGAAGCAGCCGCGGTGCCGTCCCTGTCGTGCTGTGCCTGGCCTCTGCACTGTCCCGAGCTCTGTGTGCGCGGAGYGGTGGCCGCAGGGCACAGGTCTGTGTGCCTCGTGCTGCTCCCGCTGCTCCTGCCCCTCATTTGGAGCGAGTTCCACAACCGCCAGCCCCACACGTTCCCCTGGAGCCGTTGTGCAGGCTGTGGCCCCCGCATGGCAGAGGCGCTGCGTGCCCAAGCCGTGCTGGAGTAGCCCGCTCCATCCTGCGACCTGCCGTGCGCGGAGCCCCYGGGCGTCCTGCCGTGCCGGCGCAGCATCCTGCATCCCCACTGCGCAGGCTGCCGAAAGACGTCGTTTGTTCCGGGCCCTGCTGCGAACTGACTCTTGCTGCCAGGCAGTGACTCAGCTGCCCCCCTTCTGTGGAGCTGTTACACGGGGATTAATCCAGGCTGAGGATCCTGCAGGAGTTGCTGCATAGTCCTGGCTCCTTCAGGGCTGCATCCCCCTCTCTAAACCCTGAGCTCTGGGACAGGTCTTGCCTTGGTGCTGCTTTTCCAGCCCCAGTTTTCTGGTGCATCCCTGCAAGGGCGGCACGGAGCACCRCGATGCTGGCAGCAGCTCTCCATGGAGTCTCCATGCGGTCGCCTGGGAAGCGGGTCTGGAAGCACTTGCGGCCAATGACCCCCGCCCAGTGCAGGGTCCAGCACAAAGTAACTGCCCAGCGGTGCTGCCAGTGCCACATCCCGGTGCTGCTGCTGGAGCGCTGGGACCGCATCCCAGCGACGCTCCCTGCTCCACAGGAGCAGCCCAGCGGCTCCCGGCAAAGCTGCCCAGGCGAGTTACAACCCGGGGAAGCAGCTGAGCGTGGCGCTGAGCTCCCTAATGCCTTCTGAGCATCCCTGGGGTGCTCGGGCAAGCGCAATGCGCTGCCAGACCCGAAATAATCTYGCTGTTACACGGTGTTTTTGAGAGCACACTTTCTCTAGGATTTTGCTCAATAATCCATTTAAGTGGATGCTGGAGTGCTTYGCTCCGCATGGCTTAAGTGTCGTTGGCGGTGTTGGAGTTGGTGAGCTGAGCGTTTTGTGTGGCCGTGGTGTTGCACAAGCGCGTGATGCCATAGAAAATTCCACTGCATCCCAGGAAAAGCTGCCCCTGTATCAAAGCAGTGACAGGGGCTGGGCTGCTCGCGACGGGGTCTGTGCCCGGCCTCCGCTCCCGCTGCTGGATGAGGCTGTTGCCGCTGCCACAGCCGGTCGGAGGCAGCGGCACCTTATCAAAGGACGCTGTGCACAAAAGCTCCTGACTTTCAAAGTGAAAATCCYCGTCCGGGCAGTGGCGCCCGGCGCTGCGGGCCAGTCTCCTGCGTGCCAGGGACTTCTCCCACCTGCAGTTGTCATGGGGACTCCTCTTCCCCGGGTTATTATAGCACGCACTTCAGCAGGAGCTTTATTGCTTTGGGGGCCGAGCGGCTCGCGTGGGACGTCRCTCGCTGCCGCGCAGAGGTAATTTCTTTCAAATGATTTTTGCTTGAAGTGGTTTCAATGAATTGCGAAGGATAAGAGTGCGAGTGAATGGCTGAAATGGAGCACGGGTWCGGGTGAGGAACACGCACTATCCAACTTTCCAGAGCATTAAGTGTGTATATTATAATTTCACCGTGGCATGTAAGGAGGCAGCAGTCCATTTTATCCTTCTATTCACTTTTGAAAAGTGTTATTTAGAATCTGAAATGGTTTAAATTGGTTTCCAGGCCCTTTGAAAGAAAAAGTTTAACATGAAAACCTAAATTGCAAGCGCATTTCCAGCCGAAGGGAGCTGGAGCGCAGTGCCAGCCTGGGGCTCTGCCCCATCGGCTCCCTGCTCTGCCCTCCGCTCGTTTATTCCTGCAGCTGCTGTTTCCGAGCCAAAGGAGAATATTTGGAAGCGGGATATCTGA